AGGCCTAAGTGGTTTTTTAGACCCAGCCCAACGAATGAGGCAGCATAATGGATGGCAACACTACACAGAACATCCCCAGGAGGGACCCTCCACTCACCCCAGGTCAGGTAGCACACTGCCCAACTAACAGGGCTGCTAGGCACTGTTGGCATTGCTGCTTTGCTTCTCAGAAAATGAGAAGCAGCAACTTTTAACTGCCTTGCACGCAAGACCTGCAGCAGTGCTACATACCCTTCACACAGGAAGAGGAAGACTTCTGCACTGGTTTTTTTTAAATTGTTACTGAAAAAGCTGGTCAAGAAAACTCTCTAAGGCTCAGTTTGGAGTTTTAGAAAGCAGTCATTCTTTATTCGCAGCACTGGGTGCTTGGTGGAAACTTCCACAAATCAAGCACACCCTTAATGAACACACAGTAAGCATTTCTACATTCTAAGCAACAGTTATCAGTTATACTTAGTCACTATCATCCTTACTGGTTCTACAGTGTCTCATCTGCACTTAAAGTTTTTAACTGTGCATGTTCTGTGAGGAGGGGGCTTCTGTTACTAGTGGCTTCCTCTACCCAAGGGTGGATCTTTTAGTATTACAGTGGGATTATAACGAACTAAGTTCACCTAAAGGACACAATACAGCTAGACTTCACAATCCTTGGCAAGGCTTAAGGTTTTTGAGTCTCTCATCTGTTTGTGCATACCAAGAGTTTCAGAATTGCCCAAGCAAGCACAACATAACTACCATGAAAGGTAGAGTGGATTTTATTCTGTATTTTTTTTAGCCTCTGTTCAAGGCATCAAAATCATCTATGTTTTCAATGCATGCATGTCTGCATGTTTGAGTTCACACCTGCTTAGCACCCCTGCATGAGTGCATGCAGCTGGATAGAGGCAGAGGCTGACCTCCAGGCCTCCCTGCTGAGGGAAGATGATGTACATGCCACATCAGAGTATGGACCAAACCTCTTATTTACAACTTTTGAGCCACACGTGGCATGGCAAAGCACACTATTCTCCAACAGTTATTTGAGTTTCGCTATTTGATGGTCACAGTACGGCTGCTTTGAGCCTGACCTCCACAGGTAGTTCATGGGTACACCATTCACATTATGCAGGTCCAAAAGTTCATAAACTTAAGCCTCAAGCCTGGTCCTAAAGAAGCAGAGAGTCTGAGAAATACGATACAAGGCTGGTGTAGCCGCTGTACAGGCAGAGCCAAAAGGATTTTCACCATTCCTGACGTATCTGACCACAGAACATATGGAAACTAACCCCAGTTATGAAGACAACAGTGTTGTTCGCTCCTTTCTTCCTTCTTTTTGTTAACAGGGCTGGAGTGCACCCTGTCTTGAAAGCAGTGTGCTTAAATTATCTTGAAAAGCTGTAGACAAAACCATACTTGGTCTCTCCTAGCCAGATTTCATTTCTACGATCCATAAAATGCCCACAAGAGGTAATTTATTTTTTAAAGTACTGCCTCTCTTCAAAGTAATGGTTAAGAGGTATTATCAACCTGTAAAGTAACTTACTCATCTGCCTCTCAGAAAAGAAGCTTCTAATGGGAGAACCGCATCTTTACCAGAACACAAACCTACTACAGAAATGCTAAATACACACAAACATCTCAGACCAAACAGTTACCAGGCAACTTATTGTCCACATCCTAAGCGAAAGCAAAAACAGTCTGATCTAATTCAAGTGGATCTTCTACCAAGACCAAGAGGTCAGAAAAGGAGTAGTCCTTTAGAAAGTGACTGGACACATTCACTGATAGAAAAGCTAATGGTACCTCCTCATAACCAAGGAAGAGCCCAACCTGGGGCTTAGGCAACTGTTCAGGGACAGCCCCTAAATACAGTTATTTATACTTATATTTTCCCCCAGACCCCTGTTTTTGTCCACTGCCAGACAGACTATGGACTAGATTTATCTTTACCTTAGCTGGCACAACTACTGTGTTGTTTACCTGGAGGTACTGGTTAACATCCAGCTGAATATGAGCCAGCAGTGTGCCCAGGTGGCCAAGAAGGCCAATGGCATCCTGGCCTGTATCAGAAATAGTGTGACCAGCAAGAGTAGGGAAGTGATTGTGCCCCTGCACTCGGTGCTGGTGAGGCCGCACCTCGAATACTGTGTTCAGTTTTGGGCCCCTCACTACAAGAAAGATGTTGCATTGCTGGAAAACGT